ATTATATAGAGATTCGATGTCCATTCTCGATAATGCACGTGGAGTTCTGAGCCCCAAGCTACGCAATTAATAAACACTTAGGAGTTCACTTGTAAGTATGATATTATACAAAGCGTTATTATCCTTGCACATTATAATATTATAAGCTCGCCTATACCAATTGGCTATTAGTAATAATAGCTATTACCGCTTTGCCAGTGAAATATATTATGCATTATCTTCTACAAGACTACATGCTTCTTACCTATTTAATGCTGTACTTTAAACTTTATACTTATAAATAACTAATTGAATATTAAATGCATAATAAAATGTATTAATACAACTTTAAAAATATTTACAATCTACATACCTAATAATAACATTATACCTTGTCTAAATGATATTTAATTATGTCTGTCTCAGATTCATACTAATTGCTTGAAAAAATAAAATAATGTTTAAGAATAATAAAATAAACCAAAACATATTTAAAATTGTAACAGGACATGTATATATTATTAATGCAATAGCAAATTTAAAATTTTTACTTCTAATATATTAATTAGGAAATGTTATTGATGGAAACAAACATAGTGGAGCATGACACTATAAACTATGTATATTAATTATTAATATATTATCAATTATGAACTTCCTCCGAGTGTAAGGATCAAATATTGGAAATATTTTTTCTGCCTACTTATTCATATATGTATTAAAATTAAAATTATTTGACATTGGCTACTCCATGGGAATAATCAATATTTAAGATTTGAAAAAAAAATACAATTTTAATAACACTGTTTATTTTTTTTATTTATTGTGTACATGTTGGTTTTTTTTTTCAATAATTTCTTGTACAATCTAGATAGATTATGTACAAACCAAATTATATTCTTCGCAATAAAATGACGCGGTTGAGACATATACTCATAAACATGTGTACTATATGTGTATACATAATATACTGTGCATAAACTACATAGATACTAACAAACATTACCATTTGTCAGTTGCAAACTATTTCTCATACTGTTGTGGGTTTATAGATTAAACCTTAAGTCAACACTGTCAAGACAAATTTAATTTACGTAAAGCTATTATAATTTATATTATATATTATAATGTATTATGTACAGAATTGTATTATTGGAGAAAAATGACACTTCACATATTAAGTGTGTATTCGGGGAAAAATAAACAGTTCCGACACGCGTCTAAACTATTCAAATTCTAAATATTATATACTATTATATTAAAACGTTTAATACAGTTTGACTTATAAATTTTAACGACACGGTCTCATGTCGTATTGTCAGCTTATAAAAAATAATTAATGGATTTAAGTTTTATTAGGCTGCTTATATATGTATACTTTCAAAATAAGAATAATATAATATTAAGAATGAATGTACTTATAACAACTACAACATCTTTTCAAGACGATTTTAAATTATTATAAATATTCTGACAACATATTATTATGTAAACGTTAAATTGAATAATATTAATATACATATTATATATGTGAGCCCCCGCACGAACATATTTAGTGGAGCCTATTAAATAATCGAAAAAATAAACAACGATAAAATAATACATATTAATATATTAATATTATGAACATAGTTGTAAATATAGGCGAGTCGGGGAATGTGCAGGTTATTCGGTGGCACTACTTAAACAAAAAAAAAGTTCAAAAAGATGCTTTTAGATCTTGAAAAAAGTGAGTCATTGTGTACAGTATATGATATACCAGTGGCATATTAAACTCATTTTTGAATCAATAATCTAAATATGTGGCCAGGTTATACGGTGTAATATTGTAATGTTACTCAATAATGCTATTGCTGTTGCTTTATCTTTATTAGCTGATGAAACACCAAATACATATAGCTGGAAAGGAGCAGTTATCAATAATTGGTATAAGTACTAATAATTTATAGTACCTAGGTAAGAGAAGAATTTCTTGGATTTGTAAAAACTCAAACATTGAATGCCAAAAGTGTTGCATCAAGTATTTTGGAATTTATTGAAAAGTTAAGCATAGATATAACTAAACTTGTAGGTCTGGGCTTTGATGGTTGTTCAACCATAAATGGTAAAGAAAATAGTGTTCAGACAATAATTAGAAAAAAATATCCTTTAGCTTGTTTTTTTCACTATGCTTCGCATACGCTTAATTTAGTAATCAGGGATCAAAATACATTAGGTATATAAAATAATGCAATATACAGTATAAGTAATAACTAGTACTTGTACTAGCATCGGGTATAACACCCGACCCCTGTAGATATGCTTCACCGTCCCCTGTAACAACTTTTTTTCATTTTGTTCCCCCCCCCCCTCAAATTTTATTAGATGAGCGCCCTTGTTTGAGCCCACTGAATATGAAGGTTATCATTAATTTGATATAAAATAAGAAATATGAGAATATATAAAAATTTACAGCTTCCATTACAAATTAAAACGTTATTTCAGTTAATAAATATTTTTTTTTATTGTTATATTAAAATACATTTATTTACGTCCATTTCCATTTTTTATCATATTAAAAGTTTTTTTTTAATTTATAATATGCACTTTTACATTGTGTCTTATAAACGTTTAAAGTTTCTACGACTAATATTTTTTTAATTTCAACAGTGTATCAAAAATCGTCAACATTTTAAATTTAATCATTCAAAAAAATGTAGTTATGTGATATTGTAACAATGTGACTACGCTAAACTAAACTTTCATAAAACAAACTATAAGATGTCAGTTAAATCAAATTTATAACTATTTAAACCTGGTTAAAAATGTTAAAATTGTAATATTACCTATTTAGGAACGTCTGGATTCATGGTCGCTGAAGATGAGCCCTCAGGAAGTCCAGACCTCAATCTTTTGGGTAACAGACAGTGGAGTATTTTAGAGGAGACCGCTTGCTCTAAGCCCCATCAAAATATTAAATCACAAAAAGCTGATTTGGTAAAATCAACTGCCTCAATATCGTTATGATTGTTCCGTATCGTCATAGACGAGTGGTTAGATTAAGAAGTATATAAATGCAAACCATGGACATTTAGAAATTTATAATAGTATTTAGTTTCTTTTTAGTTATGTTATTAAGTTAATAAAGAATAAATAACTTCAGATTTTTTTTTATGTTTGTTTTATTTTATTTTATAGTTTTTAATAATTTATCGAAAGAGTATAAAAAATATGTCAATTTCCCAAACGTTACGCCTAAAATTCTTCGCCGAACTATGCCGGTGGACCAGCTGTGTTGTGTTTAATATTAGTGACGTTAGAACGTGGAGTACCTGAGCGAATAATAAACTCACCGTTTTTATTTGTATTTATCAGATCGATATATAATAGGTACAATTAACCGAAAAGTTAGTACCTCTGATTCAAAAACATAACACATATAAATACTGCAGTAGTTTTTTTTTTTTTTTTTTTTAATGAAATTAAAAGTGACGAATAATCGGAAGACCTATATAATTGATCCACATAAATGTTCAAAAAATGTGTCTTCCCTTAAAAAATTCTCATATCCATCTCTGACAATAATCGCATAGTTTTTTAGTTTTAATACAAACTAATTGTTGACGAATGTACTAATTTATAAAAAAACTTTCTTTTTCCAAACGTCGAATGCAATCAAACTGTTTGTGTATGAAAGCGTAGAATCCAAAGTCGTTCCATAGATAGATTGGCAAATATTACAGTGTTAGCCGAAATTTTACTCGTCTCGGAAACCACCGCTGGCGATTCGCTTGGACTTAACACCGTAATCAAGAACGTTGACCGCTACAGATCCAAGGAAATCCCGGCACCCGTTATTTGGACATAAAGTGGTTTAGTAAGATGCTGTCTATGGTTATTTTTTTAGTTTCATTAAAATAAAAAAACTACACTGCAGTACATGTGTTATGTTTTTGAATCAAAAGTACTAAATTTTCGGTTAATTGTATTGTATATCGATCTGATGAATATAAATAAAAAAAAATCGGGTAAGTTGGTACCGCTCTGCTGTACATTAGGGGGTGGGGTGAACCTCGGACTAGGGTAGGTTTAATTTGAATGCAATGATAGGTATCATTGTATACGAAAAACGATTCTGAACGGAGATGATTTGTCAGTCTAGGATATATTATATTTAAATATTGTCATACATTCTATTTTGAAACAAATATTTTATTTTTCAATTAGGACGCATTTGCAAAAGTCATGTTAAATTAATTAATTATTAATTTTTATGAATTATACCTACAAAATAGTTTGCAAATATTCATGGTTTTGACGAATTTTTGTTCAAATATTTGAACTTCAAATGCTAATAAAAAAAAATTGTGCCTATGTATTCTTAAAATATTTTGATCACTATAAGAATAAATTATGAGGAACTTTCTATTAAATGTTCAAGTATTTTGATTGGGCCAAAAAAATGTTATCGACACTTCAAAAAAAAATTTTCAGAAAAATTGAAAATTTCAGTTTTCTATAAATAGCTCAAAAAAAGTAAAAATATTTTGAAAATTAAATCATGTAAAGAAAATGCCAATCTAAATAACTGGTAAAATTTTCAAGTATCTACGACTTATACTTTTTGAATATTAACAAATATTTAAAATCGTTTGAGGATAAATCATTATCGTTACGCTATTTCCTAAAAATTTAAAATTCAAACGCACTTAAAATTTTTCCTATAATGATGCTTCAAGTTTTCACTATAACTACTTGAAGGAAAACTTAGGGAAAACATAGTGTAGTATTTTTAATCCTTAGTTATAAACACAAAAAATTATATGATTTTTAAACTTCAAAATTACTTACAAATTTTCGCGTTTTCAATAGATTTCGTAAATATTTGAACTATAAACGTTTATAAAAAAAAATTTGTGACTAACGATTTTTAATTTTTTTTACCTACAGTAAGAACAACTCATAAGGAACCTTGTATTAAATTTTCAAAATTTTTTGGTCATCCAACATTTTTTTATCGACACTTCAATAAAAAATATTTATTACCTCAGGAGATAATCTAGTTCCTTTTTAATATTAACTATAACTGGTAGACCATTATAAATAAAAGATGTATACATTTGTATAAGTGAAGCTCCTGCTTTAATTTTGTCATATGCATCTTGACCATTAAAAACTCCACAGACTCCAATAATTGGTATTTTACCTAAACAATAAAATTTAATTTCTAAGTACAATTAATTCTATCAAGTTATTATATTACTATAATTCACCATTTGTCAATTTATAGAATTCTAAAATTAATTTTGTAGATACTTCTTGTAGTGGTTTCCCACTAAGACCACCAGGTTCTAATGCATTGGGATTGTCATAAACGCCAATTCGTTTAATAGTTGTATTTGAAATTATTAATCCATCAACTTTACACTAAAACCAAAAAGTACTCAAGAAAATTTTGAGTTTAATATTCATTGAACTAAAATATAATTTTACCTTTTTATTATTAATTATTACAACAACAATATCTTTTTTGTCTTGATCAGTAAGGTCGGGAGCAATTTTTAATAATAATGGAATTTTGCGTTCTCCACTTAACTGATTTCTTACTTCCACGACTTTTGAAAGTAGACTTAGGAGATCATTTTTCTTTTGCAAATTTCTCAGACCTGGAGTATTAGGGCTAAACATTAACAAAAAAAAAAAATTAATTTAAAATATGTAGAAAGAATAGATTTGAAAGTAAAATTAGTTATTTTACCTGGATATATTTATAACAAAATAATCTGCAACTGAAGCAAACTTTTCAATACCTTTCACGTAGTCATCAGCTGCATTTTCAGACTCTTTATTTTTTCCTAAATTAACACCAATTATACCATCAAAGTTTTGGTGTTGCTTAAGATTCTTAAGTCTTTCAAATACAATATTTTGACCAACACTATTGAATCCATACCTATAATGATACAATATAATGTATTTCATTAAATTAATATTATTTACTAAAACTGTGTGCAATTTTAACCTATTAATAATAGCTTGACTATCTAAAAGTCTAAACACTCTTGGTTTTTCATTGCCTGGTTGAGGTAGAAGTGTTATTGAACCAACTTCTACAAAACCAAACCCTACATTTTTTAATGCTTTTGTTATTTCGCCTTGTTTATCCAACCCAGCTGCAAGACCTATTGGATTGGTAAAATTCAAATCCCATAAAATTTTGTTTTCTAGAAAAAAAAAATAATAAATCCAACACATTACTCATTACTTACTATTTGTTAATAACTAATTATTTGTTTAAATAATGAGAATAATAATTGGATGACAAAATGTTTAACTTACCAATGTCGGTTGATCTTTATAAAATGATTTTGGTATGAGACCATATTTTCCAGAAAATATTAAAAGGTTATGAGCTTTTTCTGGATCAAAAGTAAAGAACGCAGGAATAATAAATTTCTGATAAAATTTTTCATTCTGCGTGATAAGATTTATTCCTGCCCACAAAATACATCCTCCAGAGGAAATGTAAACCCTAAATAAATTTACAAATATTAATTTATGGGTATTCAACTGATCACTATAAAACATGAGACTAATACTTTTAAGCCAATTTCATCACAATTTAAATTATTACATTTAACAAATAAAAATGTTAATAACTTACCATTGTACATAAATTTAGATTACTAAATTGTTTTCTCCAAACAAAATATTAGAAAAAAATAGCTAAATAAAGTTGAATTTATTCACTATATTTTTATAACAAGATGTATAAGTCGGGTCTAGGCCAAAATAGCAAAACAATAAACCGCGAATTTTAAAAAAAGCGATTATGCATAATAGCGAAACAGCAGATTTTTATAATTTCTTTTTCAAATACTATAAAACATATAAAACTTAAACTTAAATACTTGATAAAACTTGTTTTTACCTGTAATCATTGGTCAGATTCGTTACAAAAATGATTGAATCCGTGGCAGTCAACGAAATCGCCAATGACCTAATGCTTTGTTGTTGATTTCACCCTTTCATTGTTTCAACTATTCCGATGATCTAATAGTGGATGGGGGATCGGATCAGGGTTGCCACCCGTCCCGTATTTCACAGGACAGTCCTTTTTTTGTTTGATTTGTCCCGCGTCCTTGCTTAAAGGGTGTCGGGACGCAATATGTCCCGTATTTGATTGTTTCTTAAAATTATACATAAATATCATGATATTTTAAATATTTTCACCAAATCAATTTATTTTCAAACTATTTGTCTCTCATACGCAGCAAATTATAATCAGTTGTATGTATTAACTACTATAATACATATTACATCCACTATGATGTTTATCTGTTTCTATAATTAGATAATAATAATAGTATTCAATATAATATTATATTATTATAAAAACAAGTTATAGATGTACGCTTAGCGATAGGCGGCGGCTAGTTAATTTGTTATCTGTTTATTTTTTCCAGTAATAAAAATAAACTAATAGTTTACAATTAGTATTAAGTAATAACCGTCGCCGCCGTCAAACACACATATGACAAATTGACAAATTATATGTATAGATCAGTTTTCGCTTTTCAGTCTGTTCGTTCTCCGCCGTCGTAGTTCCGTGCTCGGTTTTTGTCGCGTATGCGTATTCGACATCTTCAATCTTAATTCTTAACAGAAATAAAACACTATTACACGTAATAAATTCAATAATTAAAAATGTCCAAACCTGAAAAAAGATTATGTAAATTTAGGGAAGTTTGGAAGGCAGATTATAGTTGGCTTGCTAAAAGTCATCTAGAATATTTTTCTCGTTGCACAGTTTGTAATAAAGACTTTTCTATTTCTCACGGTGGATTATCTGACGTTAAACAACATGAAAAAAGCAATGTACATAAAATCAACAGTAAGTCTGTCACTTCATCTCAAATTCTTAATAAATTTTTCATCACGCCTAATACTGTAGAATCTCAAAAAATTGCTTTGGCTGAATTATTTGAAGTTTATCATAATGTAAAACATAATTTATCATATAATTCATTGGATTGTTCTTTAAAACTAATGCCAAAATTATATCCCGATTCTGGAATAGCTAAAAAGTGATGTAGAGACAGTAGTATTAAAAATATATAGTCATTTTTCTTCGTCTGCATCAAGAAGAGAAAATTTAAAGTTTTTTTGATTTCGCTCAAGTTGATTGGGAAGAACTGGTGAAACATGTACCAACTAGGTGGTTATCTCTTGGTCCAGCAATTGACAAAATTTTAAAATTTTATCCAGCCTTAATATCATATTTTATATCAATAAGAGATGAATGTCCCAAAGTTCTTCAAAAATTACTATCAATTAATGCAGATACTGATACAGAGCAAGACAATTATCTTTACACTAAAACCTATATATATTTAAATTTTTGTGCAAATGTGGTTCAAATTTTTCAACAAACTAGTAAACGATTACAAAATATGGACACTTCTGCTACAGAATTGTATGAAATTATGGATTATTTAAGAACTAACCTCACAGAAAGATTGGAGCAACAATTTTTTGGAGCACATTTCATTTCATGCAGACAACATTTAAAAGCAAACAAATATGAAAAGTATAAGACAATCTTTGGGCAGTTTTATACAAATATTAATACATATTTATCTAAGTGGTTTAACTTCTCTGATGACAACATTTTTAAAGTGATTGAATGCTTACAATTAAAGAATGAAATTTCCTTCGGCGATTTAGTAAAAGTTGTTAAGACATTACAATTAGAAAATATTTCTTTAGATGACCTTTTTAATGAGTATTGTATAATAAAACCTATTTTAAATAATGTTTGTAGTATAGAGCAAAATGTGTACTCTAAGTTGGACAAAAATATTTTCAAGTGGCACAAAAGAAAATTTCAAAAATATATTTCTATTAGTTTCATATGTGTTAAGTATTCCACCATCAAATGCTTATGTTGAAAGAGTTTTTTCTATAATGAATCAAAAGTGGTCAAAAGAAAGAAACAGGTGCAAAGTAGAACTTATCAAGTCAGAACTTCAAATAAGTCTAAACTTTGAAGAAAACTGTTCAGATTTTATTGAAAAAATAAAGCTTGACAACGACTTACTTAAAGCAGTATCAAGTAACCAAAAATATTCTTTTAAAAATAAATAAAAATTTCAAGTACAATACTTTAACTACTTTTTCATATTATTTTTAATTTTTAACACAATTATCTTACAATTGTATTTAGTTTGTATAATGTATAAATATTATAATCCAAATGAAAGCTTTATAATTATTTTATTGTTAATATTTACAATATCTTATTTCATTGGGATGTTTTTTTTTTTTTTTTTAAATAAATGGCGTTTATTGGAAATTTACAATCTGTACATTACATTATACAATAAGTAAATATGATATGGCAAAATAAATAATATAAAGAGAATAAAGGCTTTGAGTAACGTGTAGGAAGACTCGCAGTCGAGTCACCTTTTACAATGAAATAAAATTTATATGAGTACTATAAATGAGTTTTACAGGTCAAGAAGATCTTTGCACCAGTTGCGATTGAGACGTCGTGGAGGGTTGTCAGGAAGAGTTTTTGAGGCCAATTGAGTGATGAGGTGGTTGCGGTTCTTAAGAAGTTTCCCGTGAAACCTTTTGTAAAAATTGGTGGCTGTATCTTGGATGGTTTTGATTTGAAGGTCGTTGTGAAGTAATTTGTTCGTAACGTACCAAGGAGCTTTGGCAATGATACGGAGACAAATTGATTGAAAAGCTTGAATCGTTTGAGTATTGGATTTTTTCGCTGGGCCCCAAAGTATGATGCCGTATGTCCAGATGGGACGGAGGATGTTTATAAATAAAACTTAATATTTTCTACAAAAAATATGTGTCCCATAATTTTGACACTGAAAGGTGGTAACCCTGGATCGGATACCAGTTTTTAGTTCAGTGTTTACATTTCTACACGAGGCTCGTCATCTCGTCGTCTGAAGAAATGTCTGACGCTGAAGTACAAACCGATATCCAATCTCCCATCCACTCGGTCGTTTGATCATCGGAATTGTTAAAGTGACAAAAAGGTTGAAACCAACGACGGCGGTTGCAGGTGTTATTGGTGATTCCGTTGAATTCAGTCATTTCTATGCCATAATCTTGTTGACGATCGCAATCAGACTGTTTGTATATAAAGGCATAAAATCCAACATATACGACCATCGTGAGGAATACTCCGATCAAAACTATCAAGTTCAGAAGTTGAACTTCCAAGTGCAGAAAGTTGGCCGGTTCAGTGTAATCAGAGGTTCCCAAACTTTTCCTACCCGTGGTGCCCTTTTAGAACTGAAGTTTGCTCATGGCGCCCTTAATAAAATTTAATTGTTAAATGACCTCAAGAAAGCATAAGAGTATGTGCAATAGCCAATATGATGATATAAACTATAAAGTATATAGCAATACGTAACTAA